TAAAATCGATAAGAGTAGGCTTCGGCCGCCACCCGGGCAAAATTCAAAATTTCCTACCAACTGAAAATATTAGGTGTGTCGCGCGCGCTCATATGACCTATGCAGTTGCGAGCGCCGTAAAACACTTTACAAAAAACAAAACAAACAACAAAAACTGAGTGGTTACCGATGAAGTGTTTAGATTTTCCCCATAAGTAGCATCATGCAGACAAAATAGACTTAGGTTTACTTAAAGCAATATTATAGTTTTCCTTTCCGATGATATGCTTGTTCCATTTTGTTGCATTATTTTTCTTTATTGTTTATGTTATCTAAGTTTTACAATCAAGCCACTGAATCTCATTCTACATGCCCGTTGTGATGTTGAAGTGTGCACTGTGATCAAGTTGTCTACAGATTTTGTATTTCATTCAAATAAACATAATATTCTCAAGATCCTGAGTTGGTCATTTCAAAGAGGGAAGCGTTCAGATGAGTGTGTATGTGTATGTATGTGTGTTTGTGTGTGTGTGTGTGTGTGTGTGTGTGTGTGTGTGTGTGTGTGTGGGAATCCATGGATTTGTATGTGGTTGGTTGGCTGGTGCCTTGGTGTGGTTTGCTTCTTCTTTCCTATCAAATATCTGTCGTCCTTATCTCTCCTCCGATTTTATGTTTGTTACTTTCTTATATAACTTATTTAGAGAACTTGAACATACTAATAGTATGTGCGGACTTGAGACAGACTGGGGGGGGGGGATAATTTTGAATTTTCGAATTTGAAAGATTTGTTCACTATCATTGAGCTAAATAGAATTCTTGATTTTTATTGATAACATCGGTCTTATTCAAAGATATGATTAGTGGGTTTTTTATCATATGAATTGCTGTTTTTAAAGCTATTTTTCTTACAATTGATACTTCAACTATTTTGAGTAAAACCATTAAGCCATGCTATGAACCAACATGAAAACGACCACCTTATTTCCGCGCACTCGTATGAATTTATGCAGTTGCGAGCGCCGCAGAACTCTTACCTAACAGAAAACCTGAACAGATGAGTAACGAGAAAAGACTAACAATTATCTCCTGTGGTGACCAATCGGTTCTTCTACTCACCTGATTGTCCGACGTAGCTCCATTTTGCCGCCAAGGACAGAGAACAACCTGTAGAGGAGAGAAACAGACGTTAGAAATTTAGGTCGTCGAGAAAAACTTTAAAACATAACGGTGTGGGGGTATAGAATAGTTTGTTTATTGTTTTGGAAAGGGCGGGGTCGGGGTCTATCTGCTGGAAAGCTGTACTTAATTAAGCCTATCCGTACGCCCTGGGGTTTTATTCTTCACACTTTAAAATACTTTTAGTACGAAGATCTCTTTGAAACTTTCAGTATTTCTCAAAAAAATCTTTTTGACACACTGCTATGCAAAGCGTACGGGTCGGATTAAGGAGTAAATTTCCTCATTGGAAGTGGTGGCACAGAGTTCCCCACGTCGTATGGACACGATAGTGAAACGCGACGTACGGATAGGGTTAAGTGTTGGCACAGAGTTCCCCACGTCGTATGGATACGATAGTAAAACACAACGTACAGATAGGGTGAAGCAAATTACGTCCTCTATCTCTACCGCCCAGGAAAAACAGTAGCATGCATACTGCTTTAAAATCGCCTGTCAAGAAACAAAAGGCCATACAGGCTCACACTGATGTCAAGCATGCGCTCATGACTCGGCGTTGAGATGGATGGTCACTGAGATATGTCCCTGACCAAGATAAATCATCATATTGTGGGGCATCATGGTGAAATCAGGCGCTCTTCAAAATAATGAAATTGAAGAAACTGACGTTTTCCCACCAGTGTGACAATTTTTAAATCAAATTTTAGTTTTTTGGCTCAACCCCTTTCATGTCCATTCAAAAACACATTTATGTTTAAATTTCACTTAAAATCGTTATTTAAAAGCACGAAAATTGTAAAATATCAATCTCTTCTCAATGAACTCTCAA